TGAATTCTGGGAGAACTCCAGACCCCACCTGGAGGTTGGTAACACTGTTCTGCCACCATAACATTCTCCCATTTTGTTCTCTTGAGTGACTGTATTACGCTCCCAAAAAACCACTTGGTGAGTATTAACCCCAGAGCAGGGAATCTGAACTGTGATTTCTCCTTTCAAAAGCCACATTTTTCTAGCTACTGCGTGTGCTTCCGGTTTTTGTTTGTTTGTACTTCAACCAGGGGTCATTTCCTGCAGGAGCGCACAGGAGCGGAGCTCCGGCAGTAAAGAGCCCAGGGGCGGGCGCATGCAACAAGCCCCGCCCCCTGCTCCCAGCAGCCCTCAATCAGAGCAAGAAGCAGCCAGGTAAGCTGCAGAGCCCGCCCCCACTAGCTAGCAATCCAAAACAATCCAGTGGAGCCTGAGCAGTGGGTGTTGCCTTCTTACACACTTCCGGTGATGTCGGGGGGGGGGGTGGGGGCATATGCAAATAAGTTATGTTAATGAGTTATGCTAATGAGCTCCTGCACCTCTTTTTCTACGAAATGACCCCTGACTTCAACCATTTCTGTTCTGCCCACTCCACTGAAGATGCTCAAGATAGCAGAAATGAAATGTAAATGATTTTAAAGTAGCAGCACAGATCACATATTATAACTGCCAGAGAGCCTCACTCATCACCTTGCCAAGGATCAGTGGGGAGAAAGAGTTCTGTAAGCTGAGTATATGAAAAATTCTGTTCCAAGAGCATCCAGGTTTTTGATCAAGAAAAGCTAAATCTGGCATAGATGTCTATAGAAATGGGCCTGATCCCCTGGTGTTGACTACTTTTCATAATGTATTGTAGTGGTGCTCCTTGTCCGGGAGTGGGGCGAGGGAATTATGCAGTGCTTTGAAGTCCCCAGTCTCTGCTACTGGAAATCTTCTAGCCTCCTTTCCAGGTGATCTTAGTGGACATGGCTCATATGCATTCAAGCAGCCATGCTTGTTGGGCCAGCTAGAGTCAAGATGCATAAGTAACTGAGCAATAAATACAGCTAAGACTGGATGGAGGCAATTGGTAAAACCTGTGAATAGCAGCAAATTATCATATAGCATAATAAAAGAGTTTACAAACACATGCAAGAACTGAATGATGTTAGCATGTGTAGTGAGATAAGAAACCCAATATCTCTGTTAAGCTCTGGGGGTTCCATTGTCCTGAGTGTTGTAATAATTTGTAACTCAGCAATCTCCCGTTCTACTCTCTTTCTGACATTTCTTCACAGTAAAACAGCTACTTTGAGGTCCCCCACTGAATGTCCTGAAAGGTTGAAGTGTTCTCTTACAGGTTTCTCAGTATTAATGAAGCTTTACTTCTCAGGAAGCTTAATTTGGCACCTAATACCACCTTCTGAGTTCTTTTTGTACTCCTGTGGAATTGTGGCATAACCACAGCCCCAAGTGTAGTAGGCCAGCATTTGATGTCTTCTTCCTGGTGTTACTTAAGAGATGCTGTTTCAGCAGCCATGTACCCCACCCTGGCTGTGAGTTGGCCTGTCCTTTCTACGGCATCAGGTTAGTGAATGAGCACAGGTGAGACAAGGTGCAGCATCTATAAACTTAGATTCACCTGAGGATTTGCTTGCTGTTGGGGAATTAGCAGGCTTGGACCAGAGACTGATGGGGGTCATCTCCTCTCTGGAGTGATGCTGATCGATGTGTTAGGACAAAATCCAGCCAGACCAAGGACCGTCCTCCTGCAAATCCCACTGCTAACACAAGAGTAACTCCCTCCAGTTTGTCTTGGTCCCACATTTCTGCAGTTTGCAGCAGAGATGTACAGGACTGCAGAACCCCTCTATGTTTGGGCTATCTCTGATATTGGTATTTTGTATTTACTTCATTTATACTTCATCTTTCTCCCCAGTGGGGACCCAGGGTGGCTTCCATAATTCTCCTCTCCTCCATTTTATCCTCACAACAGCCCTCTAAGGGATGTTGGACTGAGCCCGTGTGACTGGACCAAGTTTACCTAGCAGACTTCCATGGCAGAGGGGAGATTCGAACCTGGGTCTCCCAGATCCTTGTCTGACACTCTAACCACTACACTACACTATGAATCTGAACTGTTTCCTTGGCTTGGGATAGACCCTTTCTAAAGAAAGCCAGTGCTGTGTATATTGGTTAGAGTGTTGGACTAGGGAGACCCAGGCTCGGATCCTTGCTCAGACATGAAGATCATTGGGAGACCTTGGGTCACCCTAACCTACCTCACAGGGTTGAAGTCAGGGTAGACTGGAGGAGGTGAGAGCCATATATGCTGCCCTGAGTTCCTACAAGGAAGGGTGGAATAAAAAGCAATACATAAATAGCTTCTCCGTTTGCATCTGTAGCATGGCTGGGCTGCAGCCTCTTAAGAGGAGAGGTGCAATAAACATGTGTTTCAAAGCAGCAGGTTGCCATCTTGAACCCTTCTTAAACATACATAGCAGAAGAAAAGAGTAACAGTCCAGGAGCAACTTAAAGACTAACAAAATTTGTGGTAAGGTATGAGCTTTCGTGAGTCACTGCTCAGTTCTTCAGATACAGCTAGAATGTGAGCCCACCTGTCCTACATATCGCAAAGTGGAGTGATTTGAGATGCCAAATGACATTAGCAGGCAACTGACAATAGAAGGTTTGATATGCAGAGAGGTAGTAGGGGTGGAGAAATCAGCATTGGTAATGAGACAGGAAACCTAGGTCTCGATTCAGTCCAGGTGGATGCATTGTCTTGAGCTTCGTTATCAGTTACAATTCAGCAGTCTCTCTTTCTAATCTCTTTTTGAAATTCCTTTGTAAGAACAGCTACTTTTAGGTCAGCAACTGAATGTCCTGGATGGTTAAAATGTTCCCCCACTGTTTTTTTTTTTTTAAATGTTCTGGTTTCTGATGTCAGACTTATGTCCATTAATTCTTTGTCGAAGGGGCTGGCCTGTTTGTGCAATGTAGAGAGTGGAAGGGCATTGCTGACACGCAGTGGCATAAATCACATTAGAGGATGAGGAGGAATAGGAACCTGAGGCGGTATGGCTGATGTTGCTGGGTCCAGTGATGGTGTTGCCAGGATCTATATGAGAGCAAAGCTGGCATCTTGGTTTGTTGCAGGCCTTGGTACCAGACTCACATGGCTACCCATCTGCTATACGTAGCAGAATGTTTCTAGCTCTCATGGTTGCAAAGATATGCCTGGGACTGTAAGGGGGGGGCATATGATTTCCAATTGCTGGTGTAGCTTCTGGAATCAGAGTGAATAACCCACTTTGGCCTCATTGACAGGGTGGGAGACATCACCTTTTCTCAGGGTGGGGTATTTGTTTGAGCATGGAGTGCCCAGATCCATGGCTCCAAGGAACAGGGCTGTGTCTGTTGGAAAGAAGAAGCAGCAAGTTCTGATTGCTGAAGGGGCAGACTGTGGCTGGGTTTAGGGAAATGGACATGACCCAGGATGACAGCAGGCTCCGGAGGGACTTGTCAAATTTCCTCTTGTGTCTGGGGGTAGCAGCCTTCAGACTTTCCTTACCTGTCTTTAACACCAACATGAATCCTGAGAGGGATCCACTGTTAATTGTGCCTGTGCCCGACTGTACAGTATCCAGCTTCCTAGACCTGTTTCCTTCTGGAATGGGTCGGACATCGTGCCCGGGAGGCTTCACTATGGCCATGGCATGATGTCTGAAGTGACACCTTGCAGTTGGCTGGGAAACCAGGATCTGAAACCATGGCGTGCAGTGGTTTCAGAAACCAGCTCGGGTTTGGTGGAACATCTGACTTGGCAAATCATGGTTGTGGCCATTGCTCCAGCTTTAGAGACCATGGCAGCTGGAGGCTAGAAAGAAGAAGATGTTGAAAACGAGAGCAGGCTGTTGCCTCTGAACCATGGCTTGTGTTTTGAACCATGGTTAGTTCAAACCAGGGTTTGATGGGATGTCTGAATTGAGCTGCTGTCTCTGTCTGTCTTTTCCTGAGGCCTTTCCTTCCCCTAAGGTTGGTGGGGTGCTGCTGCTGGGGTGACCCACCAGTTGGTTTAGAGGGACTTAGTTATGGGATTGGTTAGGCAATTATTTGACACACACCCCCACCCTATCCACTCTGCTTCTGTTCTTTTCTGTCCAGTGCAGTCTCTTATGGAGCGGAGGTCCATCAGTGGCTATTAGCCACAAGGTATAGATAGGAACTCTTGATCTAGGGCAAGTGATGCTCTGTATTCTTGGTGCTTGGGAGGGGCAACAGTGGGAGGGCTTCTAGTGTCCTGGCCCCATTGCTGGACCACCTGATGGCACTTGGTATTTTTGGCCCCCATGTGACAGAGTGTTGGACTGGATGGGCCATTGGCCTGATCCAACATTGACTTCCCTTATGTTCTTATGAGGGGTATTGTCATTCATATGTTCTTTATAGCAGGGAATAGGAAGAAAGTAAATCTGCGGCTGCTGGGAGACCACCTAGTGACTGCCTTGGTCTGTCTCAGCAGGGCACGTTCTCTTAAGTCTGAAAACTTAATTCCACTGAAAAGAGATCAGTTATATTTGTGCTAAATGATACTGCACATGCGGTCTTGTATTTCCATTTAAAACACCATAAAATAATATAAATCCCCACTCTGCCGTGGAACCTTGCTGAGTAACCTTGGTCCATTCTTAGCCTTACTAACTTCAGAGAGTGGTTGTGAGGATAAAATAGGGGAGAACAATGTTGTAAGCTGCTTTGGGTCCCCACTGTTGAGAAAAGCAGGGTATAAGTATATAAATAAGTAAATCAGTCTTCCCCTCCCTCCCACGCTGTACAGAGTTTGGCAGTCTGTTCTGTAATAACTTTGTAGAGGCCAAAGGGTAGAGCGACACCTGCCCATCATGAGTAGGTGAGGAGTGGGACTTGGAGGAGAGCTGGGGTAGGTGTGATACTTTTGGGTTGGGATTTCCTGGGAACAGGAAGTTGCTGGGGTTTTCCTACTCTCCACAGATATTAATGCTGCTTCTTTCTCTCTCTAGATCTTCTCCCACTGATCTTTCAGCAAAACTGGGGTCTTCAGGGTAAGTGATGCATGCTGCTTCATTGCTATTCGTCCTTGTATCTGTTTCCCACTGACTCCACAAAGCAGAACAGAGCCGCGAAAGACCTCTGCCTGAAGTCCTGGAACGCCATTGCCAGTCACAGGAGACAGTATTGACCATGGTAGGCTAGTAGGCTGGCTCTGAATAAAGCAGATTCATGAATTCGCCTGCCTTGGTGTTGTTCAAAATAAGGTCCTTCATATTTCCCCAGTGCTGTGCATATAGGGCTGCCAAACCCCTCGGTTTGGCAGGGGTCCCCCGCTTTTTTGGGGCTTCTGCTCGCCGCCGGCCAGCTGGCTGCCAGGGAAGCCCTGCTCCCAAGCCCCAACACCCGCAGCCACCCCTCTCCCAACTCTCTTGAGAGAGAGGAGGGAGAGGGGCGCGCGGGGGGGATGCCAGCTCCTTTAAATGCAGGAAGCCAGCTTTTCCTGCACTTAACCCGATCTCTGTCAGGTGCGCGGGGGGGGGGGAATGCCAGCTCTCTGCACTTAAAGGGACCCATTTAAGTGCAGGGAGCCTGCGCCGCGGGAAGATTGGGTGGGGGGGGGATGTCCACAATGTGATGTCATCATGTCGGGGATGCCCCCGCCCCCTCCAGGAACGCCCCCCAATATGTGTGTGTGTGTTAAAGCGTCAAGTTGCTTCTGACTTACAGTGGCCCTATGAATTAATGACCTCCAAAATACCCTGTAGTTGACAGCCTTGCTTGCACTGGGCGTCGTGGCTTCCTTGATTGAGTCTCAATCCATCTCATGTTGGCTCTGCCCCTTTTCCTGATGCCTTCAGCTTTTCGTAGCATTGTCGTCTTTTCCAGTAACTCAACTTTTCCTAGCACTATTGTCTTTTCCAGTGACTCTTGTCTTCTCATAATGTGACTAAGGTAGGATGGCCCCAGTACGGCCATTTTAGCTTCTAGGGAGACGTCAGGCTTGATTTGATCTAGAACTCACTGATTTGTCTTTTTGGCAGCCCATGGTATCTGTAAAGCTCTCCTCCAACACCACATCTCAGACAAATCAACTTTCTTCCTGCCAGCTTTCTTGATTGTCCCATCTTTCACACCCATACAAGAAGTAAAATAAAGAATAATACATTGATTGAAAAGGGTCAATGTTTCTGATGCATTGGAAGAGTAAGGGATACTGCACATGATCAGTTTTTAATTTTATTTTCAAGAGTATTTGTGTGTGCGTGCACATTTATTTGTGCTCAATCACCCAAGTCTCATAGGTCAATTCTCGGATCCTAGCCATCCGATAGGTGCACCCTAGGATCCGTTCGAGCTATTGTCTCTGGAAGCGAAGCTTGGGCCATTCGCATGGCCATGTGCGGACCCGACCAGGTGTGCGGTTTCTCTGGATACACAGCACCCCTCCCCCCCCGGTCCAAATTACCCCTAGCTGACATAGTCTTTGAGGTATGTGGGATGCCTTCACTCCCTCGTGGAGTGGCGGACTTCTGGGGCTGGGCTCCCTGGCACCGTTCTTGTCGGCTCCGGGGAAGGAACCTCCGCCACAGGGGTCGCTGCCGGGGCTGGTGTGCTGCTGGGCTCCAGGTTGCCTGTTGGTTCCACGTTGCCACTGTCCTCCTGGGTAGATCGCTTGTCCCTGGATGAGGTGGATTGGTAGCATCTGGTTCCCCAGGAGAAGGGTTGTCATCATCTGATACTTCCGGGGCCGTGGGTAGGATGTGGCGATGCAGTTGATCAATGTGCCGCCTCTACAGCTGGCCGTCGTCACAGGGGACTTTATATGAGAGGGGCCCGGTCACCTGGACGACTCTTGCCGGAACCCAGGTGGGACCCTAGCCGTAGTTCCTGGCATACACGGGTTCCTCCAGGAAGAACCCTCGCAGGGCCCCCTGATCTTCGGAGCTTGTGCTGTGTTCTGGTGCTCAGTCTGGATGGAGGCGGTCCATCCGGGTTGTCAGGCGGTGTCCCATGAGCAGCTCCGCTGGACTGCGGCCAGTGGTGGAGTGAGGTGTCATGCGCTGTCTGAATAGAAAGGCGGCCAGCTGGTAGTCCCAGTCCCCCCCGGTCCATGCGGCGCAGCGCCTCTTTCGTAGTCCATACCATGCGCTCCACCTGGCCATTGGTTGCGGGGTGAAAGGGAGTGGAACGTATGTGCCATATACCATAATGCACGAACTCCTGAAACTCCGTGGAGGTAAAGGTGTGCCATTGTCAGTTACCAAAGAGTCAGGTATGCTGTGGGAGCGAAAGATCCGCCACATCGCGCGGATGGCTGACCGGGACGAGGTTGACGGGACCGGTGTCACCTCGAGCCACTTTGTGTAAGCATCGAGTAGTATAAAGAAGATCTGTCCCTGGAAGGGCCCGGCAAAGTCCAAAAGTAGTCTTGCCCACGGCTTGTGGGACGACTCCCATGGTCACACTGGTGCTTTCGGGAGCTCGGGCTGTGACTCTTGACATATCTGGCAGCGCTTTACAGTATCCTCAACCTCACTGTCCAACCCCAGCTACCATACATCGCTCCGGGCCAAGGCTTTCATTCTGACTATCCCTGGGTGGTGTTCATGTAGGGCGGTGAGTACTCGCCCTTGCAGGGGTGGCGGTATCACCACCCGGCTTCCCCACAACAAGCACCCTTTGTGGGAGAACAACTTGTCGCGGCGGCCCGAGAATGCCGAGAACTTGGGTCCCACTGAGCCGGCAGGCCACCCCCTTCCCACCCAGTCCAGGACCCAGAGAGGAGGCGATCTCCCCCACTTGAACCGGGCGATAGGGCAGGTCCTTCAGCAAGGCAATGTGGTGCGCTGGGTCAGAGGAAGGCAGCGGGAGGCGGCTCAGGGTGTCTGCGTGGCCCATCGCCTTACCAGGGCAGTGGATCAGAGAGTACTGGTAGCCTGCAAGGAAGATGGACCACCGCAGCACCCGGGGAGACAAAATCTGGCCCAAGGGGGTTTGTGGTCGGTAACAATCATGAAGACCCGGCCATACAGGTAGTCGTGAAATTTTTTCACAGCGGCCACGATCGCAAGGGCCTCTTTGTCTATTTGTACATAATTGCGCTCAGCTACCAACAGCGTACGGGAGTAATAAGCCATGGGAACCTCACGGCCATCGGCCAGCCGGTGCCCCAGGGCTGCCCCCACCCCATAGGGAGAAGCGTCGCGAGCTAACACCACGGGCAGGGACTCATTGAAGTGGGCGAGGACATCTTTGGGTACCAACAGTTATTTACCACCCAGAAGGCAGCAGTGTGTTTAGGACCCCAGACCCATGGAGCGTGTCGAGGAGTCTGTGAAGAGGTTTAGTGATGGTGGCCTTGTTGGGGAGAAAGGAGTGATAAAAATTTTAAAGTCCCAGGAAGGCCTGCAACTTCAACTTAGATGAGGGTGTGGGCACTTGACTGATGGCTTGCGTAGGGTGAATTCCTTGGGCATCTACCGCAAACCCCAAGAATTCTATCCGCGGCACCCCCAGGAGGCATTTCTCCCGTTTGACCTTCAGGCCGGCAGTGTCAAAGTGCTCGAGCACTGTCCGGAGCCGCAATTAAAACGTTGTCGAAGAACGGCTGGACTCCTGGGATGCCTTTGAGGAGACAATCCATCATGTTTTGAAAAACACCCCCAAATTGCAGCCGCCGCACTCTGAAAGCCCCCCGGTGGGTTACTATAGTTTGGGCTTCTGCGGTGGCGTTGTCCACTGGCAGCTGTTGATAGGCCTGGGCCAAGTCCAGCTTACCGAAAACCCTTGCCCCCACTAAGGAGATCAACACGTGACTGACCACCGGTACTGGGTACGCGTGGTCTTGAAGTGCCTTGTTAATGGTACACTTATAATCGGCACAAATTCTGACGTCCCCATTAGGCTTCACCGGGGTGGCGATGGGGGTTTTCCAGCGGGCATGTGGCACCGGTTCTAGCACTCCCTGCTCCACCAGGCGGTCCAGTTTGGACTCTATCTTGGGCCACAATGCCGCAATGCTAACGGGGGCCGCCTGGCCTTCATTCGGATGGGCCGCACCGTGGGATCAAGTTCAAGTAAAACCGGGGTGCCAGAGTAGCGGCCAAGCGTGCCCTCGAAGACCCTCAGGAACTCCTCACAGACCGAATTAAAGTTCTGAGGCTGTATGGCGTTTATGCCCGTCACCGCAAATCCCAGGGGCCCAAACCACGCAAGTTCCCGCAGGCATGTGAGTCTCCCTTCCACCACCAGCAATTCTAAAGGGCCATCAAAGTCTCTGAATTGTACCCTGAATTTGCCCCAGGCCTTGATGGCCATGGGGTTCTTCTGGAAGTCCTGGAGGGACAGACCCTGTGGCTGCTTTAGGAGCCCCCCCCCCCCCAGGGCAGAGTTTACTTAATGTCTCTGCAGAGATTATGGAAAACAAGAAGCCCGTGTCCAGTTCCATTCTACAGGAGGACCCCTCTATTAACACAGTAACATGCATTTTGTTAGGGGCTTCTGGGGGCAAATTCATTACCTGGTGTTGGTTGATGGTCAGCGTATGCAGATCCAGGTCCTCCTGGTGAGTGGATGTCTTCTTCCGGGTGCCGCGGGATCGGCAGGCGCGGATGATGTGGCCTTGCTTCCCACATGTTCGGCAGACGGTGTCGCAGAAACGGCATGTCTTGCGCTCGTGTGTGTCCCCGCAGCTAGCACAGGATGCTTGGGTAGCCAGCTTCTCGGGATGTGCTGTTGCTCCCTACGGGGGTCGTGGATTCCTGCAGCTGGGCTGTCGAACGTGCAGGACTTCTTCTTCCGAGTTGTCGGACGCCGCAGCTGGGAACACGTGGTGTGTTGATGATGGTGAATGGTCACGGTGTGAGCCCTCAAATGCAGTGGCCATCTGTAGGGCTGCTTCTAACTTGAGGTCTGTGGTACCTACAAGTTTGCGGCGAAGCTTGGCATCCCGGATGCCCCAATCGAATTGGGTTAAGATGATGTCCTCGACATCCTGGAACTCGCAGTCCATCGCTTGCTGGCAGAGTTCGGCCATGAAAGCAGGGGCCGTTTCACCGGGCCGCTGGAGGCACGCCTGGAAGTACGCCTGGAAGTCCATGCGCTTGGCCATCTTGGTGGGCTTTGGCGCATAGTACTTTGTGAGGGCTGTGATGATCTTGTCGTATGTGTTCTTGGTCAGCTTATTGGAAGCCAGGAGGCCCTTGTCCAGGCGAATGGTGGCCACCCCACATGTGCTGAGGAGTAGGGCCCATTTCTTGACTGTGTCGGTGACCTCATGGTAGGTGAACTAGCTGGTGAGCTGGTCCACCCACGATTCCCAAAACTCGGAGTGTGTGGGGTCGAAGACTTTGAGGTGTCCCAGAGTGACAGCCATGACTCTCACGTGAAGTGGGGAGTGATGTCCTGGGGAGCAGTGTGTGGTGCAGTGCTGCTCATGAGCAATGTGGGGTGAGGTGACTTCCGAAGGAACGATGCTCGGGGCACAGCTGTTTGAAGAGTCCGGCTCGCTCAACGGGATCCTATCCTCATCGCCAGTATAAAGTACTGAGCCTGAGGCATAGCATAGTGATTTCAGCTTATACTTTATTCGTACATAGGAGAACGGAGATGAAGTAGCCGGGCCAGAGGCCGGCTTATATCTCCGTAGCAAACCACACCCAAACACACACCCACACCCGTGCTAGGATATTTACAGTGCACCCAAGTCCCATAGGTCAATTCTCGGATCCAAGCCGTTCAATAGAGGGCCATAGGATCCGTTCGGGCTATTGTCTCTGGAAGCGAAGCTTGGGCCATTTGCATGGCCACGTGTGGACCCGACCGCATGTGCGGTTTCTCTGGGTACACAACATACACCAGGAAATGCTGATCGCCACTTTGGGATCAGGAAACAATTTTTCTCCAGGCCAGTTTGGCTGGGGGTCCTGGAGGTTTTTTGCCATCTTCTGGGCATAGAACAGGGGACTCTGGGGGTGTGGGAGGAATTATTTGAGAGATTTCGTGCATTGTGCAGGGGGTTGGACTAGATGACTCTGGAGGTCCCTTCCAACTCTATGAAAATACAGACACTGTGATGTGCTGGCGAACATATTTAGTAAAACATTTTACAATCAATAGATAAATCTTATGTCCCATTATAGAGAAGTAAATAATATTACAAAGAGAAGTCCATCCTCATGATGTCACTACGAGCACCCGGATGTAAGCTCGTTTTGTCAGTCTTCCTCAGGAGGATTCCTATTGTCTTCAAAGTTATCAGCCTCTTGTTACAATTCAGTGTTTATACTGGGAGCAAGCCAGTCCTTAACCTTTTCTCTTAACAGATGCAAAAGCCTTCTGAATTTGGCTGGCAAAATGTTCTCTGCAGACCTCAGTAGTATTTTATTTTCATCAGAGTTATCATCCTGGAATAAACCATGGTTATTGAAATGAGAAACAACACGAAGCTGAATGGAACTGAATAATTTTTAGCAATATTAAATATTATTAAGACCTCTTAATGCCACTTAAGCGTTTATATTAGGAGCAAGCCAGTCCTGAATCTTGCTGGCAAAATGCTCTCTACAAAAAGATTGAAACTAGCTCTAGTTAAAGAAAACTGTTCCAAGTAATTCCAGACTCCTAGGGTCCTAGGCTGAGGTCTTTCACATCACTTATGACCTGACCCTTGCTGGAGACCAGGGATTGAACCTGGGACCTTCTACATGCCAATGCTCTCCCTCTGAGCCACAGCTTGCTGACTTCTGGCAAATTCCCCCCCCCCCCCTTTACACACTTGAAGGTGCAATAAAGGGGAAAGGAGCCCTTGATAGATTTTTGATTGCCATTTTGCTGTTAAGGGTATCTAGGCTCTGTTGGGGCAAAGGGAAAAGAAGGCAAATCACATCAAATCCTGGTTTGCAAACAAAGAGAAGCCTCTTGCACCAGTGGGAGCCCATAGGCTGGGCAAGTCTGACTTGGGCATTGAAGGGGAAGGTGAGGCCAAGGGTGGGGAAGAATGTAGTGAACCTGCTTAAATATACCAGATAAACAATGACTGCATAGATTCTGTGGCACTTGTGAGGCTGAAGCCCTGGACATAGATTGGCAGAGCTCGAGCAGAACGTTCAGCCGCATTCCAGCAGCTCAGGGAACCAAGCTTTCAAAACTTTTTGCAGTCTCTGCCAGGCTTCTCTGAGACAGAGCAGGTTGTTCTTGAATCAGAGACCGATTCTTGTGGGGCATGCTGAGGAGTTTCTAGTTGCCTGTTCAGCTAAAACAAAATCCAAGTAATCCACATGTTGACCATGGGCACAGCTGCTAGAAGAACTATGGTGTTTGCGTGGTGTCACGATCCCTGTCCAGGAAGGACAAGACCACTGATCAGCAGTAGCTGTATGTACTTTGGATCCAGATATATGCCTCTCCCTGTCAAGGGGATTCCCCGGTGGCCCTGGGAGAGTTTAGCGCTCCCCCCCCCCTTCTTCCACCCTGCATTGTTTAGCTAGGTGAAGGAATTCAGCTGATGAGGGTGACGCAGGAATCCCTTCTTCTGCCAAGGCAAAGCAAAACAAGTGGAGCCAAGGCAGGAAGGCTGTCCCAGAGTAGCTGAAATGGCTCCTGCCGCCCATGGTGGTGGATCTTGACTGGACTCTGCAATGAGGGGGACTTCAGTCTGTGTTGCAAATTTCCAGTATTGCCTCAAAGCAGAGAGTGGGGAAATCCCCAGGATGGAGGGAAAGACTTGGCTATCCGAGAAGCCGGTGGCTGGATTATGGGCTGGGTTATACAGAGTCCATTATGTAAAGGATGGGGCGGGGGCAGCAGAAGGGGAGTGAGAGAGCTTCCCTCAGCCGCCTCCTTTTTCCTGCCTAGACAAAGAGTTGCCAAGCAGTCTGCAGGGAGGGAAAGTCCCTTTGCAACTCCCAGGTTCGGCTGACTGCATTGCTGAAGGATGCAAAGAGAGAAGAAAGGCAGTGGACTGTATTGTAATTCTTGGTTGATGTCATGCACATCATTTGGGAAGTTTCATACCAGATTATTGTATCATCAAAGATTTTGTTGTGCATGGGCAGTCACCGTGAGAAGTTATCCATGGCCTATGCCATAAATTTACAGCTACCGCACAGCATATGAGAAAGCAACACCTGGATTCAGTATGTATATATTTGCTTCTGTATGAACCTTATTTCAGGCATATGCTGTTGATGTTCTGTGAAGTCTGACATTCAGGCTGCTAGTTTTTAATCTTTCAATTTTTGCTATTGTGTACACCATAAACAAAAAAAATATTTTTGATCATGTTTATTTTTAAGTTAGCTTGATCCTTCAAACAGTGCTCTTTCCACACACACCCCGGTTCCAAAGCATTTTATTGAAGGCGAATGATCAATGGTTGGGAGCGAGTTGAGCTTGGTAAATGAAAGGCATTCTGTGCATCCTCAGTAATACTTTGCATATTCCACTCTAAGGACTATGGGAGGGAGGAGTGGATATTTACACCCACCCACCACCGTGCATCTTTCACAGAAAGCATGGTAACTTTTATTTTGGTTCTCTTAATACATGGATAACAATGCCAGGGTAATTGGTGCAGATGGAGATGCTACGATTTCAGATCAGATGTTTCCAGGTCATAACTCTTGGAGTAAATGTGAGCGCCTGAAATGAGAGCCAGTTTGGTGTAGTGGTTAAGTGCGCGGACTCTAATTTGGGAGAACCGGGTTTGATTCCCCACTCCTCCACTTGCACCTGGCTGGATGACCTTGGGCAAGCCGCAGCTCTGATAAGAGCTGTTCTTGAAAAAGAGCAGTTTCTGTCAAGAGCTCTCTCAGCCCCACCTCCCTCACAAGGGTGTCTGTTGTGGGGAGGGGAAGGAGTTTGTAAGCCGCTCTGAGACACCTTTGGGTAGTGAAGGGCGGGGTATAAATCCAATCTCTTCTTCGTCTTCTTCTATTTTTAAATAAATTTTATTTTGTTATACTTACTTTTCATACACCAGTGGATAGGACACAGAGAAAATGTTCCATACATTAATAATCATACGTCCAGCTCAGTTTGAAAAGAAGACAAAAAGAGAGAAGAAAGCCCGTACTCAAAAACCCATACTCCCACAATCTGTCACATTTACTACTCCCAATCAAATACTCATAAATTTGTGCCTGCCACTGCCCAGTATTAATCAATTTATTTTCCTGATAGTCTTTTGTTCAGGTGTCTCTCAAGATATTGTCTTTTACCAGCTCCTTTGGTTTGTTTCTATTCCAGTGTACAAAAATGAGAACAGTGTTTCCATAAATGTCTCCTGCACCTTACTTTCTCCTTCGCAGACCTTCTTATAAACTGCCGTCTTACACATCAACATGCCCCTGGAACAGTTTTTTTTAAAGGAACACCATCTCTGTCCTTGAGGACAGGAAACTTTAAGTCTACATGCAACCCAGGTTATTTCAAAAGTGTGGAAGCCAATAGGACTCTGGAGACCCAGGTTCAGAAACCCCAGTTTTCCATGAAACTTGCTGGGTGACCTTGTTCTAAACCTGCCTTCTTGTGAGGATGAAGTGGGGGAGCAGAGAGGTTGAGCTCCTGGGGATTTTCTACTCTACCCTGCCTCTCTCAGGCACACACTTAAAAGTGAAGAATTGCTGAGCGCCCTGGTTTTTGCGTGGGTGGGGTTGTTTCTCACTGCGATTGATGTTGCTTCTCTCCTGCTTCCCTTCCAGACTCCACCCCCAGCACGCCTTTTGTGGAGATCATTGAACAGCCCAAGCAGCGGGGCATGCGTTTCCGTTACCAGTGCGAAGGACGCTTGGCTGGCTCCATTCCTGGGGAACGCAGCACAGACACCACGAAGACACACCCCACCATCAAGGTCAGCTCCACAGCATTTTGGGGAGGAGGTGACCCTTGGGGATCGAGGAATTCTTGCATCTGTTGCCAGGGCAGTACGAAGGCGGGAGTAGAGAAGAGCAGGCCTTTGAGAACATTGTTTTCTCTTCTTTAGAAGCTCACTGTGCTGTCTGTCCAGATACTTTTCCAGGCGGCAAACAAAAAGTAGAAATAAAACAATAAATCGATAAGATGAACCCTGCAGCAGTAAAACCATCTGCGAAACATAAAGCCAGCGAAACCAACTGCATGAAGTAATCCTTCCAAGAATAAAAAGCAAGCCATAAAACATTATAAAGAATGGAATCCACGGACCAAGATCATAAAATAAACAGCTGAAAAGATGGGATAAAACTTCAGTTCAAAGCCTGGGTGAACAAAAATGTTTTGGCTTGGGGCCTAAAGGGCAGTTAGGTAGGCACCAGGTGAGCCGTTGTGGAGGGCATTTCAAAGGTGAGCCCCAACCACTGACAATGCCGTGTCTCTGGTGACTGCCCACCTCACCTCTACAGCTGAAGGCATAAAGAGCCAGGTTAGAGAGGATGACCTTAAGAACATCAGAAGAGCCCTGCTGGATCAGATTCATGGTCCATCTAGTCCAGCATCCTGTCTCATAAAGTGGCCAACCAGTTCTCCTGGAGGGCCAACAACACAGCATAAAGGCCGAGACCTTCCCCTGATCTTGCCTCCTGGCTCTGGGATTCAGAGGTTTAGTGCCTCTGAATATGGAGGTTCCCCTCAGTCAACATGGCTACTAGCCATTGATAAACAGCCTCCATGAATCTATCTAATCCCCTTTTAAATCTGTTTATTCCTATGGCTGTCACTACATCCTCTGGCAGCAAATTCCATATTTTAATCAGTCACTGTGTGCAATAGATCAAGATGAGTAGCTGTGTTAGTCTGTCTGCGGCAGTTGAAAAGAGTAAGAGCCCAGTAGCACTTTAAAGACTAACAAAATTTGTGGTAGGGTTGTACAGGATTAGCCCACTCAGGCCAGTCCAGGGATGAGAGGGAATCCTGTACTTTTCAGTACATTAAACAACAAACCACGAGATGGTCTATACCCTCGCTGGTTTCCAGACAATTTGCCACCAGAACCTCTTTTCACTAGTCCCTGCTTCTCCTAAGGGAAGAGATTCCAAACCCTTGGGACACATTAGCAACTCAATCCAAAGATGCACACTTTTACTCTTACCAAGGTAGCATATGTGGTCAGGGTTAGGCACAAGATTTAGCCTTGGAGTTCAAGTTACAACACCAGAGACAATTAGAAATAAGAAGGCTCTTTATTCAGTACAGAGTTTAGCATAGACTACCAGAGATTACAAAAATACCAAAGGCTAGGGTTGTTTGCCTTAACTAAACATAATGATTCATAGTTACCAAGTCAGGAGTATTCATCAGTCCAACATAGTCCAAGTACCAAGGGATTTTGAGGAGAAATCCCATCTTTGCACAACCATGTGCTCCAGTTCACAAAGCAACTCTTTGTCTCCCAAGAGACAGCATTTCAGGTGCAATAAAACAGGCAGCAAGAGCCTCAGAGCTAATAGAACAAGAGACTCGAGAATATGAAGAGGAGACTCACTCCCATAGGGATCAAACAATTATACCCCAAGCTAATCATGACTAGCTGTGGCTTTTGGCCAATCAGAGTAGCAAGGGTGTGTGGCCAATTTCTGGTTGCCATAGCTGCAACACAGGAATGGCTAGAAGTTTGGAGGCCCCAACTGCAGTCATGTGACCCAGTTTCCAGCTACTTCATTGTGTACGTGACTTCTCGCATGTGGGGCCTAGTGTGGAGCCTTACAGTCTAGCTTCTAGCATGGAAGTGTGAAGAATGTGGGTTATAAAGTTGTTCAGGCCATCTGGCCCACCATTTGGCTTGCAACAGGAAATAAGGCACAGCCTGTTATCAGAAAAGACATCACAGGAGAAGGCAGGAGACTTTTAGAAATCAATATTTCTATACAAGGGTATGAGCTTTCGTGAGTCACTGCAAATTTCTTCAGATAATCTGAAGATTTCTACTTCTTACCCTTTTCTACTGTGTAAAGTAGTGGGTTTTTTTGTCTGTCCTTGAACCTACTGTCCATCAGCTTCATTGGATGCCCTCGGGCTCCAGTATTTTGGGACAGGGAGAAAATATCTTTGTCAACTCTCTCCACCCCATATGTAATTTTATGAACCTCTATCCTGTCCCTCAAAGTGGGATTTTTTTATCCCAATGTGTGTGACTTTACACTTCTCAACACTTAACTTCATTTGCCACATTGTCGCCCATTTATCCGGTTGGTGGAGGTCCTCTTTGAGCTCTCCACAGTCAGCCTTGGTTTTCACCATCCAGAATAATTGTATGTCATCTGCAAACTTGGCAGATCGTTCCAGATCATTTAAGAATAAATTAAGTAGTACCAGCCCCAATACCGATCCTTGTGGGACCCCACTGCTTACTTCCCTCCATTGTGAGAACTGTCCATTGATTCCTACTCTTTGCTTCCCGCCACTTAACCAGTTTTTAATCCATAAGAGAACCCGTCATATCCCATGACTGCTAAGTTTATTCAGGAGTCTTTGGTGAGGTACCATGTCAAAAGCCTTTTGAAAGTTCTAGCACATAATGTCTATTGGGTCACTGTTGTCTACATGCTTGTTCACTTTCTCAAAGAACTCCAAAAGGTTGGTGAGGCAGGACTACCTTTGCAGAAGTCATGCTGATTTTCCCTCAGCAGGCTTTTCCCCTCTATGTGCCTAACCATTTATCTTTGATTACAGTTTCTACTAATTTGTCTGGGACAGATGTTAGGCTGACTGGTCTGTGATTTCTTGGTTCCCCTCTAGATCCCCTTTTAAAAACTGGTGTAACATTTGCATCTCTCCAGTCTTCTGGTACAGCGGCTGAATTTAATAATAGGTTACATATACGGGTTTGTATATCAACGATCTCACATCTGAGTTCCTTAAGAATGCCATCAGGACCTGGAGACTTAACGGTTTTTAATTCCCCCAATAAGTCTAGAACTTCATCTCTGGTCACCTCAATTTGGTTCAGTTCTTCAGACTCCCTTTGTGAAAATAGGGGCTGTGGCATGGGTATGTGCCCCACACTTTCCACGATGAACACAGAAGCAAAAAAGTCATTGAGCTTCTCTGCCATCTCCCCATCTTCCTTTAGCAATCTCTTTATTATTTTGTCATCCAAAGGCCCTGTTGTTTCTCTGGCTGGTTTCCTGCTCCAGCTATATTTTAAAAAAATGTTATTGTCTTGATGCTTTTAGCAACCTGCTCCTCAAAATCTCTTTTTGCATGCCTAATTATTGACTTCTGTTTCTTTTGCCAGAACCTGTGATCCCTCCTGTTCAATTCATTGAGGCAGACCTTTCACTTTTTAATAGAAGCCTCTTTGCTTTTTATAGCTTCCTTGACTTGCGTTGTTAACCACACAGGCCTTCTTTAGACTTGGCCTTTCTTGACTTGTGGAATGCTTTCTATTTTGGGCTTCAATTAGTGTGGCTTTAAATAGCTTCCAAGCATCCTCTAGGAATTTGACTCTTTTGTGTTTCCTTTTGAGCTTCCTTTTTACTATTCCCCTCTTTTTGTAAAGTTCCTTCTTTTGAAAACAAATGTGACAGTTTTGGACTTTAGGGGTAACTTTTCATTGCCCTGAATGTTGAACTTAATAGCATTGTGGTCACTGTTCCCAACTGGTGTAACAGCCTCTACATCTCTCACCAGGAGACATGCTCAGAACCAAGTCTACCACTCTACCACTCTAGTTGGCTCTATGATCAACTGTTTCAGTGCACAATCATTTATGATATCTAGGAATCTCATTTCTACAGCATGACTCGAGCACATGTTTACTCAGTCAATGTGATGGTAGTTAAAATCTCCCAATATAGTAGTCACCTCCCTTATTTCCTTCTCCAGTTCCAGGGTTTGATCATGTAGGTGATGGTGCACCCCCACTTTTAAGTAACCATTTGGGCGTAGTCTTTCCACCCATATCGCTTCTGTTGGGTAGTTAATCCCCTTAATGTTTTCTAACTTACTTGATTCTACGCCCTCTTTGATTTACAATGCAACACCTCTCCCAACCCATCCCTCCCTGTCCTGCCTGTAGAGATGATACCCAGCAATGACTGTATCCTATAGATTTTCCCCATTTCACCATGTTTCTGATATACCGAGCATTCCAGCTCCCCCGTCTTAGCTCGGAGACTTCTAGCATTTTGCTGCCTGGTTAACAATGTGGGAGGAGGCAGTCCTTCAAGTAGCCAGATCAGTTGGTCAGGGTGGTGAAAACCAGTGAAGATTGTGAGGCATGCCAAAGGGATCTGTCAAGGATGGGCGAGTGGGCGTCAACATGGCAGATGGGGTTCAATGTGGCCAAGTGCAAGGTGATGCACATTGGAGCCAAAAATCCTAACTATAAATACACATTGATGGGGTCTGAACTGGCAGAGACTGATCAAGAGAGAGATCTTGGAGTTGTAGTAGATAACTCACTGAAAATGTCGAGACAGTGTGTGACTGCAATAAAGAAGGCCAATGCTATGCTGGGGATTATTAGGATTATTAGGAAAACAGATCAGCCAATATCATAATGCCCCTATATAAATCAATGGTGCGACCTCATTTGGAATACTGTGTGCAGTTCTGGTCACCACACCTTAAAAAGGATATTATAGCTTTGGAAAAAGTGCAGAAAAGGGCAACTAGAATGATAAAAGGGTTGGAACACTTTCCCTATGAGGAAAGGTTAAAGCGCTTAGGGCTCTTTAGCTTGGAGAAACGACGACTGAGGAGTGACATGATCGAGGCTTATAAGATTATGCATGGGAAAGAGCAGGTAGAGAAAGAGGTACTTTTCTCCCTTTCTCACAATACAAGAACTCGTGGGCACTCCATGAAACTGCTGAGCGGTCGGGTTAGAACAGATAAAAGGAAGTACTTCTTCACCCAAAGAGTGATTAACACATGGAATTCACTGCCACAGGAAGTGGTGGCGGCTACAAGCATGGACAGCTTCAAAAGGGAATTAGATAAGCATATGGAGCAGAGGTCCATCAGTGGCTATTAGCCACAAGGTATAGATAGGGGCTCTGGGGCAAGTGATACTCTGTCTTCTTGGTGCTTGGGGGGGGGGGTCAACAGTAGGAGGGCTTCTAATGTCCTGGCCCCACTGGTGGACCTCCTGATGGCACTGGTATTTCTGGCCACTGTGTGACACAGAGTGTTGGACGGGATGAGCCTTTGGCCTGATCCAACATTGGCGTCTCTTATGTTCTTATGTTCTTATCATAATTCATTTACGGTGCCACCCTAGGCAGAACTACACCCTTCTAAGTCCACTGAACACAGTGAACTTAGAAGGGTGTGTTTTGGTGACAGTGGTTGGAATGCTTAATGGTAAGAATCAGCATTTTCCGCTGTGTTCAGAAACAGACAATCAGCCAGTTAGAGCTCTTTGAGCACAGGGATGATATGATCCCTGTGTCCAGCCCTTGACAATAGCCTCAGAAACAAGACAGGCTTCAGTGTGAATACAATAAGAAAAAATAAGCTCACTGAAGAAAACCACTACTCTCTAACTTTACCACACTTGGTTATACTTTTTATAATGTTTATAATGCAGGTTTCTGATACTAGATAACATTCATCCTTATGTAAAGTGCATTTCATAAATATAGGCAAAGCCAGTAGATAATGGTATGAGCACAATACAAAATCTTGATGCAAATATTCTTGACACTGTTTTGGCTATGTTCCTGGAATGTTTTCTCTTTAAGACGTCTTAACGAAGCTCTGAAGTTGAAAAGCAGACTGAAAAGTCTTCGTTTTTCAAGCTCCTAAACAGCATTTATCACTCCTTCATTTGAAAACATGTGGATCCAAGGAATGCAAGAGATGAAGAGAACACACTTTCCTAGGATTAAAAAGCAGTTTCGAATATCTTTTTCATCTCTCTCTCTGTTGGTGTTCATCACCAATCTCTTGATGGAGCACTGCAGGAATGACAATGTAGATAATGTGGATCAACAAAACATCTCTCTAATGTCATCCCAAAGCTCCTGACAATAGCTTGGCTGCCAGTTTTCAAATTAGTTTAAAGGGCAGTCTTTGAGGGCAGACCCTTGGAACCCCTAATGGGGGAACAGTAGAATATTAAATAAATGTACACTTAGACAGCTGGAGAAGCAGATGTAGAAATGGTTTCTGTTGCCTTATAAACGCTACAGGACCTTCTCTGTAACCATTTTCCAGCCAAGCTGGGAGAGCAAAATTGTCCATGCTTGGCAGTCAGTTTACAGGGAATTAAGGGGCAACAGTCCCACACTAACAAAATTCTTAATTTTGAGTGTTGGGGCAAGTGCTGTCAGATTCACAAAATCTTCAAAAGGATGGGGAACTGGGGAGTGTGTAACTTTGCAGAGAACAATGCTGACAATTGGTTTTCCACCCTACCCTTTGGTCAGGAAAATGGCCCTGGTGGTTCTTGAATTATGCTTTTAAAACATCATTGTGTACAGTTTGTACCAAAAACGAGAACAGACTTGGTGTGCCTCCCACTGAAATGTGGATGGACACCAAGCACAGTCAGATGTGCACTAACGTTATTTCTATGTCTTTGTTCCCTTCCTCTGTTTGTAGATCCATAAATATGTGGGTCCAGACTGCCCTAGCTATACTGGCGGGGGACTGCCAATGTGGGGTTCATTGTGATGACAAAGATAAAGGGAGTTGGGAAGTTCAGATATTCAGTAACGGTTTCTCTCTCTTTCTCTTTTCCTCTGTTCGTAGATCCATAACTATGTGGGTCCAGGCAAGGTCCGCATCTCCCTGGTGACCAAGGAAACTCCCCACCGGCCCCACCCCCATGACCTGGTGGGAAAAGACTGCAAAGAAGGCTTCTACGAGGCAGAGCTGGCATCAGAGCGCTCCATCCACAGGTTAGCAGGCGCAAGGGGAGAGTCAGGACTCTGGCTTTTGTTCCTCTGGTTGTGTAGCTGTGGCTCGGAGTAGAACATCTGCTTGGTGTGCAAAAGGTCACAGGTTCAATTCCTGGCATCTCCAGTTCAAAAGGACCTGGCAGTAGGTGATGTGAAAGACCTCTGCTTGACATCCTAGAGAGCCACTGCCAGTCAGAGTAGACAGTACTGACCTTGGTAGACCAGTGGTCTGACTCTGTATAAGACAGCTACAATCCTAGAAGCTCAGAAAAAATATATACCGCAGGTTAGGAAAGGCACAAATAGGTATAGAAAAAGGCCTGCTTGGTTAACAAACAAAGTAATGGAAGCTGTAAAAGGTAAGAAGGATTCCTTTAAGCGGTGGAAAGCTAGAATTCACTGCCACAGGAGGTGGCGGTGGCTACAAGCATGGACAGCTTCAAGAGGGAACTGGATAAACATATGGAGCAGAGGTCCATCAGTGGCTATTAGCCACAAGGTATAGATAGGAACTCACAAGCTGGGCCAGGTGATGCTCTGTGTTCTTGGGGGGGGGCAACAGTGGGAGGGCTTCTAGTGTCCTGACCCCACTGATGGACCTCCTGATGGCACCTGGTATTTTTGGCCACTGTGTGACAGAGTGTTGGACTAGATGGGCCATTGGCCTGATCCAACATTGGCTTCTCTTATGTTCTTCGTCTCAGTGAGGTTGATAAAAGGGAACAGAGGCTGTGGCAAATAAAATGCAAGTTTGTGATCAGGCAAGCTAAAAGGGAATATGAGGAGCATATAGCAAAAAACATAAAGACGAACAATAAAACTTTCTTCAAATACATTAGAAGCAGAAAACCAGACAGGGAGGCTGGTGGGGCCCTTGGATGACCAAGGAGTAAAAGGAGTACTGAAGGACAATAGGGAAATGGCTGAGAAGCTGAATGCATTTTTTTTGCCTCTGTCTTCACTGTGGAAGATGAGAAGTGCTTGCCCACTCCAGAACCGCTGTTTTTGGGAGGGGTGTTGAAAGACCTGAGCCAGATTGAGGTGATGAGAGAGGAGGTCCTACGACTGATAGACAACTTAAAAACTGATAAATCACCAGGCCCAGATGGCATACATCCTAGAGTTCTTAAAGAACTCAAATGTGAACTTGTGGATCTCCTTACAAAAATATGTAATCTTTCCTTAAAATCTGTCTCCATTCCTGAGGACTGGAAGGTAGCTAATGTCACTCCCATCTTTAAAAAGGATTCCAGAGGAGATCCAGGAAATTACAGGCCAGTCGGTCTGATGTCAATACCGGGTATGTTGGTGGAAACTGTTAATAAGGAAAGAATTAGTAGGCACATAGATGAACAAAAACTATTGAGGCAGACTCAGCATGGGTTCCGTAAGGGAAGATCTTGTCTCACTAACCTGTTAGTGTTCTTTGAGGGAGTGAACAAACATGTGGACAAAGGGGACCCAATAGATGTTGTTTACCTTGACTTCCAGAAAGCTTTTGATAAAGTTCCTCATCAAAAGCTCCTAAGTAAGCTCAATAATCATGGGATAAAAGAACAGGTCCTTTTGTGGATCAAAACCTAGCTAATTAATAGGAAGCAGAGAGTGAGTATAAATGGGCAGTTTTCTCTGTGGACAGTGGTAAGCAATGGAGTACCGCAGGGATCAGTACTGGGTCCGATGCTTTTTAACTTATTCATTAATGATTTGGAGTTGGAAGTAAGCGGTGAAGTGGCTAAATTTGTGGTTGACATGAAATTTTTCAGGGTGGTGAAAACCAGGGAGGATTTTGAGGCACTCCAAAGGGATCTGTCGAGGACGAGCGAGTGGGCATCAACGTGGCAAATGGGGTTCAATGTGGCCAAATGCAAAGTGATGCACATTGGGGCCAAAAATCCTAACTATAAATACATGTTGATGGGGGTCCGAACTGGAAGAGACTGACCAAGAGAGAGATCTTGGAGTTGTAGTAGATAACTCACTGAAAATGTCGAGACAATGTGCGACTGCAATAAAAAAGGCCGACGCTATGCTGGGGATTATTAGGAAGGGAATTGAAAACAGATCAGCCAGTATCATAATGCCCCTGTATAAATCGATGGTGCGACCTCATTTGGAATACTGGGTACAGTTCTGGTCACCACATCTCAAAAAGGATATTATAGCATTGGAAATAGTGCAGAAAAGTGCAATTAGAATGATAAAAAGGTTGGAACACTTTCCCTATGAAGAAAGGTTACAGCACTTGGGGCTCTTTAGCTTGGAGAAACAACAACTGAGGGGTGACATGATCAAGGTTTACAAGATTATGCATGGGATAGACCTTGTAAAGAAAGAAATACTTTTCTCCCTTTCTGACAATACAAGAACTCATGGGCACTCAATGAAATTGCTGAGCATTCGGGTTAGAACAGATAAAAGGAAGTACTACTTTACCCGAAAAGTGATTAACACATGGAATTCATTGCCACAGGAGGTGGCGGCTACAAGCATGGATGGCTTCAAGAGGGAATTAGATAAACATATGGAGCAGAAGTCCATCAGTGGCTATTAGCCACAAGGTATAGATAGGAACTCTTAGTCTGGGGGGCAAGTGATGCTCTGTCATCTTGGTGCTTGGGGGGGGCAGCAGTGGGAGGGCTTCTAGTGTCCTGGCCCCACTGATGGACCTCCTGATGGTACGTGGTATTTTTGGCCACTGTGTGATACAGGGCGTTGGTCTAGATGGGCCATTGGCCTGATCCAACAGCTTGTGTTCTTATGATTGTTCCAGAGGGGTAGGGCAAGCGTGGCATAGTATACAAAGCTTCTTGGACCAGGAAGATCCTTTTTTCTACTCGCCCACTTGGGTGACTTTGCACTAGTCAGGCACTCTTGGTATGGCCTACCCACACTCTTCACAGTTTTTGTGAAGATAAAATGGAGGAGGAGAGGACCATGTATAATGCCGTGAGGGAGAGAAAGATATGTGATAATAGGAAAGTGTGCTAGATTTGCTGAATGAGAGGGGATCTGCCTGGTAGGTATTTGTGGCTTGGCTGGTTCTCTGTCTCTTTTTCATCCTCCTCCTGTTCTCTCCCCCCCCCCTTCTTCTTTTGTTCCTTCTTTTAAAAAATTTCCATGCTCCTCTCTTCCGTCCCCTGATTGCTGCTCTTCCTGTGCCCTTTCCAGTTTCCAGAACTTGGGGATCCAGTGTGTGCGGAAACGAGACCTGGAGAAAGCTATAGCCAAGCGGATCGAAACCAACAACAATCCTTTCAGTGGTAAGGGGGTGGGAGAAGCAGAGCAGGATGTCCCCTCATGGCAGAGGGTGGGGTGTCTGCGTCGAGAGGGTTGTCACTTTCTCTCTTCTTTCCCACCAGTGCCCCTGGAAGAACTAAAAGGAGATTACGACCTGAATGCTGTTCGGCTCTGTTTCCAGGTGTGGATTCGAGACGCAGCCAGCGGTCACTTGGTTCAGCTGCCCTTAACTGTGTCGCAGCCAATCTATGACAATCGTGAGTGTCAGTTTGGAATGGGGTGGGGTGGGGGGACATGTCCCCTTCATTAACAAAAAGTGCTCAAGAGAGCAGTGCATCCCCCATGCTCATTAAAACTTAGGGGAAAGCCATGCCTGCTCTCTTCCCTTGCACCAAATCCAGTTTCCGTCCCCCTTCTTGTGGGGCCTTGTTGTGACAGATAGTAAGTCTCCAAGGCCCAGTTTCTCTCTTGCAGAGCACCCAGCAGACTCAGTAATAATGAAGGCTAGGTTAGATTACCCCTTCAATTTAATGTCTCTTCCCTCTCTCACAGTGACACCGGTACGGGGGTTAGAACCATAGAGCTGGAAGAGACCTCCAGGTCATCTAATCCAACCCCCTGCACAATGCAAGAAATTCACAAATACCCCCCCCACCCACACACACACACCCAGTGACTGCTGTTCCATGGCCAGAAGATGGCAAAAAACCACCAGGATCACTGGCCAAACCGGCCTGGAGAAAAATTGCTGCCTGACCCCAAAGTGGCGACCAGCATTTCCCTGGGTTTGTAAAAAAGGGCCATGACAACTAAGCACTGATGCAACCCTTCCTGCCCTCCTCCTCATGATCTGCCTAAGTTCACAGAATCAGCAGTGCTGTCTGATGGCCATCTAGCCTCTGTTTGAAAACCTCCAAAGAAGGAGAGCCTACCAACTCCCAAGGAAGCCTGCTCCACTGAGGAACCACTTTATCTCTCAGGAAGTTCTTCCTAATGTTAAGCCGAAAACTCTTTTGATTTGATTTCAATCCGTTGGTTCTGGTCCAACCTTCTGGGACAACAGAAAACAAGTCCGGACCATCCTCTATATGTCAGCCCTTCAAGTACTTGCGGATGGTTATCATATCACCTCTGTCATCTCCTCTCCAGGCTAAACATACCCTGCTCCTTCAGCCTTTCCTCATAGTACTTGGTCTCCAAACCCCTCACCATCTTCGTTGCTCTCCTCTGGACACGTTCCAGCTTGTCTATATCCTTCTTAAATTGTGGTGGCCAAACCTGAACACAAGGCTCTAGGTGAGGTCTAACCAGAGCAGAGTAAAGTGGTACCATCAGTTCGTGTGATCTGGACACTATACTTCTGTTGATGCAGCCCATAATTACATTTTCCTTTTTAGCTAAACTGAATTAATTTCTTGTCATGTGAATCCATCCTGCATGCATGGTGTTTTGTTTATTGTTGTGTGTTGTTGTTTTTTGCTACCTTGCCAGTGATTAATGTGGGTCTTTCCATTATTTTCTTTTCCAGGTGCCCCCAACACAGCTGAGCTGAAGATCTGCCGTGTGAACCGTAACTCAGGGAGCTGCTTGGGGGGAGACGAGATTTTCCTTCTCTGTGACAAAGTGCAGAAAGGTACGGTAGCAACATTCGGGATCTTGTGGACTCTGCCCTTCCTGCCTTATGTCTTCAAATTCCTCCCAGTACAGGGAATCATCTCTGTCTCTTCAGACTCCTCCACCTTTTCTACAAAATATGTGACCCAACCCCTTTGTCTTCTTCACCCCCAGCTTAATGAAGCCCAAGTATGGATAACTGCTTTGGCTCGTTTTCATCCCGTGTTCCCTCTTCCCTCTCCCACTGATGACCCTCTCCCAGTTTGACAACAGAAGGGAATCTCTTATGGCAAGAGAGTGACTACCTGTTGCCACTTCTCGTTACTTGCGAGTTTTCAACACTTATCTCTCCCCTGCCATTCCAGAGGACATTGAAGTCCGCTTTTTCAAGGATTCCTGGGAAGCAAAGGGCTCCTTCTCTCAAGCTGACGTCCACCGCCAAGTGGCCATTGTCTTCAGGACCCCCCCTTACATGGACCAAACCCTCCGTGAGCCAGTGATGGTTCAGATGCAGCTGCGCCGCCCATCAGACAAGGAAGTCAGTGGCCCCATGGAGTTCCGCTACCTCCCAGATGAAGGTATTTGGCCTCAAAGCCAGTAGATTTGTACACTGTACAAATGTAGATTTGTGTACATTTGTACCATCCTCTTTAAACAGTGGCAGTTTACTTCTAAAGTTGGGATAGGGTCAAGCACAGTTCCACTTCTGTTGGGAATGAAGCTACCACTGTTCCTTTGGGCTGAGAAGAGCATTCTCTCTTGCTGGAGGCTTTCAGGCAGAGGTTCGACAGGCGCCTGTTCGGAATTCCTGTATCCAATGAGTTGGGCAGGAGGAACAGAATTCTTCCTATTGGTAGGGGCTAGCTACAACCTGAGGCAGGATTCTTACCCCAAACTTCTTTATTTTTAGTGCTACAGCTTCAGCTATGGAGCATTGGACATACTGAGAGAGCGTCCGAACATGTACAAAGTGCTTGGTACTACTCATAACAAGCAACCCCCAGATATCTCAGGTTTAGGAACATGAAATAATTAAGGCACCTGCGCACACAAAAATGGTCGGTAACCATGTTCAAGTGGGGGAGCAACAGAACTTTTCATAGCCTACACATTTAGAGGATTTGCTAGGTGGACTCAAACACTGTGGTCCTTTTAGAAATCAATTGGGTTGGAGCACTTCTGGCCCCTTCCCAAGCAGATCGTTGCCTTTCTTGGCAGGTGATTTCCATCGCATCGAGGAGAAACGCAAACGGACGCTTGGGACCTTCAAGAACTTTGTGCAGAAGGCGCCCTTTGCAGGTACGGCTATTCCGGGAGGGAGAGAAGAACAGGGGCTGTGTGAAAATGATGATGTGGGTAGAACTAGAATACGTGGGGGTGGTGGGGGTGGAAGGTACTGCAGAGGGGGGGGGATAGTTACTGTGGAGTTCACTAAAATGCAGCAAGGTGTCTTTGTGTATTGGGGGGGGGATGAACTTCCAGGTTCCTATGAAAATGTTTTTGTTTAGCCATAACCCTTTGGAAATGACATATGAAGCAAAGTGGGTTGCCTTCTGTTCTACCCATTTCTTCCCTTTCTCCCCACCAGTCAACCTTCCAGAATCCCGCTCCCCACGCCGCATCGCTGTTCCAAAGCATGGCTCACCCCGGCCTAACACCAGCGGTAAGAACCCCTTGATTCCATCCCTTACAAACTTCCCATTAGACTTGATAGCTTGTTCAAAGGATGGAGAACTGATCTTCTTGGAAAGCTCACGCTGCAACAGGCCTGTCCTTCATCCTCCCCTTCCCTCTTTCTGATAATGCTTTACTTTACCTTACATGGGAGGTGTAGCACACAAACCTGGCACTGTTAAGTAGCTCTCTTTCCTTTGCCGTAATCTTTCCCCATCCTCCTGCAGGTGTTCCAGGGCTCTTGGGAGCTCCAGGGCAACTCCCATCGTCTATTACAAAACCACAGACCATGCCCCAGCCTTCCTCGGGCTTCTCCTTCTCTGGGCCCAGCCATGTCCGTCCTCCAGCGACTGCCATGCAGCCCGACTTCAGCACAGTAAACTTGGAAGATCTGTCCGGCCTGGGTGTGTCCCAGAGGGTCCAGCACTCCGAGTCAGAGGCGGAGACCAGCATTGCAGACGCAATCCTGCACCTTCACTTTGAGGGAGGAGACGGGGGAGCCATGGAGCTCAGTGGGCTCTTGGATGACGCCCCCTACACCAGCTTGGAGGGGATCAACACGACAGAATTCCATCAGCTCCTCACGGAGGGGCACGCCCCCACATCGCTCCCAGACAACCAGGGCACTCTGCTCACTTACCCCGAGTCCATCACACGCCTGGTGAGCCAGCGGCGGGCAGAAGGGGAGGCTGGCGATGGCAATGGTGGCGGTGGAGGGGGCAGCTCGGCCAGCAGCTTCGTCAATGGCATTTTGGGGACCCTTCCAGGTGAAGACAGCTTCTCCATGGTGGACCTGGACTTGAACTCTCTCCTGAGCCAGCTGAATTCATAATACGCTCTCTCCCTGGACTTGGGCTCAGATGCCAGCTGTCTTCTGCCTGTGCCTGACTTTGCAATTTGTACTCCCATTTGGTGGCTTTTCCTAGCCAGACTTCTGGATGGGGCCACCTTCAATTGAGCTAGTGAGCTGGCTTCTTGGAACTAGGACAGGCTCTACTTAATCTAACCTACCCCAACCCTATTTCTGGGAACCAGATGGCCTGGATTCGGGCAGGGGCAGACACTTTCCCAGATGTTGGGAGCTGTGTGTGGCCGGTTGCTTGGGGTAGTTGGCTGCTGTTCCCCTACTCAGCTCAGAGGCTGTTTCTCTTCCGGATGTGTTTGTGTGTTAATATTTTTTTGCAGGGGAAGGGAGAGGGGGATTGCATCCCACCCCAACTGTTGCTCAGATGGGTATTTTTATATCAGCTGGCTAGTGTTGCCAACCCCTTTATTTTTGACAGGTTTCCTGTGCCTTAAGAACTATACAACAAGCAACTTCTCAGTACCAAACAGTTCTTCCTTGGAACCAGGAGGGGGGAGGATTGGGAAAATCTGGTGTCTCTGTGATGGGACAGTTACATGGAAGACCTAATTCATAACTGACTTATCTGAAGATGGTCTGCAAAAAAATTTTTAGCTGGAATGCCTTAAAAAAATATGCACCATTAACAGACTGAAAGTTCCAGCTCTAGAGCTTTGCCTGTCTCAGGAGGGAGAGAAAACGGGCAGGAAACACAGGGGAGAAATAGCTTCCTCTTCCTTCCTGAAGCTGACTTCTGAGGAGGCTAAGGGGCTCTTCATGGTCTCTGAAAGGGGAAAGAGGTGAGACCTGAGCCCAGTTTTGGAGCAGGGCTGCCAGTTCCCTTCCATTACCTTAAAGAGAAGCACAGTTAAGATAAGCCGTGGAAGCCTCCAGGAGTGCCATAATTGCTTTCCAGAGACAGTCCTAAATAGGGATGGATCCTATTAAGAGGGGCTGTGGCTCAGTTTAACAGTGGATGTTAACCTGTTTGGCATGCAGAAGGTCCCAGGTTCACTCTGCAGCATCTCCAGTTAAAAGGACCAGGCGGTAGAAGATGGAAATGACCTCTGCCTGAGAACCTGGAGAGCTGCTGCCATTCTGAGCGGATGATACTGACTGTGATGGGCCAAAGTTCTAATTCAGTATAAGGCAGATTCCTATGTTCAGACAGCTAGTATCTTCTTGACTTCCTTAAGTTCTTCCTCACCATAAATAAAAAATTGGGGTTACATGAGAGGTGATGGTAGGCGATGGTTCCCCACCACCACCACTCCCCCCCCCCCCAGGTAAAACTGACTGAGCTAAGGTCCTAGGTGACTTCTAGAGAGGAAAGAAGCCCATCAAACAGTAATAGATGCCTACACTCAGGGGGTTTGGAGAAGACTACTGGCCAGGCACTTAAGCTGGAATGTTGCAGAAATGAGTAGCGGTGTCTGTACTGACCCACCTGATTTCTTTGCCTTGTTTGTTTTATACTATTTTGGAGGGGTTTGGGGCTAAAAATGCTTGACTGTTTAAGGGCTTTTATTATCACAAACTGCCTGTTTTTTCTCTTTGTATCTGAACTGGGTGCACTCGCTGTTTTCTATATAACAAGCTCCTAATAAACTCAAGGACATTCTACCAGGCTGAGGTTTATCTCATAGTTGGTATACTTGAGATTATCCTGAAATCACCACCTGGGGGGAAATGCCTTCCATGTGTTGGCTTCCCAGACTATAGGCAGCCTGTCCTCTCAAGCTAGTATTGGTAAAGGCCTGTAGAAGCTAGATGCCAACACATGCTTGGGACAGTCAAGGGGGTCTCTAGCTGCTGACCGGGCTTATAATGAGAGTGACTGTCAGCCTACAGCCCAAGGAGAAAAAATGCAGTTATAGTGTAGCTGTGCAGAAGCTCCTCTTAGCAGTTTTCTGCAGCACAAACAGCTCGGTTCTGTGTTCCACCCAGATCATTCAAGCTTGCCTACACAGCATTTCTGTGATAATTTCCAGTTGTGTGATCACTTCCATTTGTCAGGAGGGAATGGAAATAGTAGCAAAGCCCCCTTCCCAATCACTGCAAGTCTTTGTTTAGCTGCTGCTGCAGGATGCCCTAGTAGGCACATCCACTGCTAACCATGAGCTAATGTGGAGCTGCTCCTGGTTTTAGTAGAAAACGGTCTACTGGATTCTGCTCATATAGAATCCTGGAACACACAGAGGCCTGACCCTTCCTTCCAGAACACAAGATGATGCAAGCGTAGCCAGACCATAAACTTGTGCCTAGCTGGACCCTGTACTGGCCAAAGCTACTGCCTCTCCAGCCTATTTCAGGAGTGAGTGACCCCAGCTGAAGCACAGCTCTGGAAGCTCCTGCAGCTTCACTGAGATGGCATTTGCTTTTTGAGAGAGGCAGATCCCAGGGGTGGAGAAATCAGCACTGATCCTTTTTATTTCCAAGAGCCCCTGTGCAGTTACAGCAAAAAACCCCAAAACACCACCCTGTACCACTCAACAGTGTTGCTGGGAAGTTTTAGAAATGGCAAGCTGGAAGAAAGGCTACCTAGAATGCGATTCTGGAGTAAATTGCTGCCTACTGGAAAGGGGAGGGCTTGGAGGAGCTTATCCTTGGCTAAAAGGGGAACCTCACAGAGAGCCTGTACTACTGTGTACTACCATCACTGAGATCATTCCCCCCTGCCAAGCATAAAACTTTAGCAAGAGTGAACAATCTAAAATGTTTAATGCATTTTGACTTTCCCTAGTGTTCTGTAAGTCAGCCACTTCACACACTGCAGGCTACAACAGCTGAAGACAAATTCCAGAAATCCCACTTTCTCTCTTCCTTCTCGGCTCACACAAACACCCAGCCTGAGGAGAAAAAAAGTTGCTTTATTTTTAACCCGCTTTACAAGTGAATGCCTCAGTGAAACAAATGTATCTTCCACATCCTCAACAGGACACGTGTGAGAGATCCACCTCCTCTTTGAGCAAAGGAGGAGTGTTTCACTGAACAGTGAGTCTCCATACATGTTTAGCGTCGCCCAAGAGTAGGAGAGGCTAGCTGTGTGCATGCAGGGGGGGGGGGTGGAGCTTCCCCCCGAAAGCTAAGTCCCATTCCATTAGAGAGAGATGCCCTAGACAGAGTGAAGCTGGAAAACTGTGGAAGTCATTTTCCAGCCATTTTTGTAAACTGATCACCATCCCCCACAAGAGAAAATTAAGTGCAAAGACCTTCTGTTCAACCAGTCTATCATCTGAGCGTACACATTATCAAGTTTCACAATACTCTGCGACAGGCTCAGAGACTATTCTGCTAGAATAGCTTGCATACGGCTACATCGTCCTAAGTTGTTCCTTCTACTTACTGTGTCTTCCCTTTCTGACCCCCCCCCAGCAATCTGTCTGCTGATCCATCATAAGGGAGGGCTGCACCTGTGAGAGGCTTAGTACCAAAGAAAGCACAATAGCCTGGAGTCACTGCCCCTGAGGCATTATGGTAGGATACACACAGGCAACAGAGGCAAAAGTGCAAAAATGCACATTAGCAGATTCTTAGAAACAGAGGAGGGCAGCACATGCTGGTTACAAGTTCTTTTTTAAGAAACAAAAAGAAATGACCATCCTGTGGCACACTGGCTAACAAGAGCAAATGAATGGGGGGAGCATATGGAAATCCTGCCCGTAAAGGCTGTGTCCTTGCTGGCCTGTGGTTCGCAAGGGTCTCCTCCCAGCAACTGCTTTCAAGTAACTTGGTTTCTGTTTTTTTAAAAAGTGAGCACTGCATGCTGGGACTTGTAGATCCTGGTAATAGCACCATCTCACTGGAAGTGCTGCACACTGAGGGAGCAAGTTAAGTTACTTCCATGTTGTTCACTTTGTCGGTGATGCGGGAGCGGCGGGGGATACATTCGAGGTCAAACTTGCTCTCATAGATGGTGGGGCAGAGGTGCCAGCGGTTGTCACGATAGATGCCCAGGTAGGTATAAACATCAGGCTTGTAGGACAATAAGCACTTGACACCTGTGGAACGGATGACGGCATCAGCACTCAGTACCCGCTCCTCATTGGTGAAGTCATCTGTGTAGACACAGATGACCTGCTTGCGCTCTGACTCGGGGCAGAAGGGGCTGACCTTTGCCACGCCAATGTGTCCATCGAGCACAGCATGGGCAATACCACACCAGGCGTGGTCCACCTTGAAGCCACTGTCCAAATGCATCAGCCACTTCCCTGTCAGCACACGCCGGTTGAGGGCCAGCTCTTTGATGGTATCAAAGGTGATGTGGCGCCCACTAGTCTGCAGCTGCTCCCAGTCCTCCTGCAACCCTACCACATCCCCATTTTCAGGACAGAAACTGGGCCCATAGACTGCAATCCACCCTACAGGTTCTGCATTGCGCTCTGTATCGCCAAAGCGAGAGACCCGGGACGGCTGGTAGGTTTGCAGCCATTCCTCAAATTCAGCCCGTGGGGTCTTCCGGGCATCAAAAACCACCCAGGGATCCATGTCTGCTGCCATGGATTCAGCTGCCAGATACTCGGCTCCAAAGGCCCCATCCTTTCCTGCTTCATCCTCCTGGGCAGACATGACTCAGCAAGGCACCTGATTTCTGGGAGAGGAAAAAAAGCAGAATGTCATAAATCCAATGCAGATGAAGGCAGCCCATCAGTTCCTGCCTAGTCTAGTTCAATGCAAGTTTCTACAGCACTGTAACCATCTCTTCTTTCCTCTGGGAAAGCTGGGAGAACTGATGACTAAGCTGTAGAGGAGGCCATTAGGCGACAAGTTCAGTGCTGAGGTTGAGGGACTGGTCTTTGCATAAGTTTGGGTCTGAAGCTCCTTTAATTAAAAAAAAGTAATTCAAATCAGCTGGACAATGATTTTTGTAGTGGCCAGAGTATTCAATGTGGACTGAGGAAGATGGGTTCAAAGTTCTACCTGGGTATCAATACTCAAGCCAAGCCACTACTTCCATTAAAGATAAAATGGAAGGAGGATGGGACAGAACAGCGAGAGACAGTTTCTCCAGTGCCACAGGCTATACTTGATAAAATAAATAAAAAATCATCAGCAAAGGGAAATGAATTTACATGCATCTAAGTAAATTTAAGGAGCTGCGGTGGCTCAAGTGGTTAAGACACTGAACTGCAGGCTGTGGAAGATCAGTAGTTCAGCAGTTCGAGACCCGGGTGCCGCATGATGGAGTGAGCCCCTGTCTCTAGTTCCAGCTCCTGCCAACCTAGCAGTTTGAAAGTAAGAAATTGCAAGTAGATAAATAGGTACCACTCTGGTGGGAAGGTAACAGCATTCCGTGCGCCTTGGTGTTTAGTCATGCCGGCCACATGACCACGGAAACGTCTTCGGACAGCGCTGGCTCTTCGGCTTTGAAACGGAGATGAGCACCGCAACCCTAGAGTCGGACGGGCTTTCGAGCAAGGGAACCTTTGTTGTTGTTCAGTCGCACAATTGAGTCCGACTCTTCGCAACCCCATGGACCAGCTCCCGCCAGGAGGTCCTCTGAAGTTTGCTCAATTTCATGTTCGTTGCATCTATGACACTGTCTAACCATCTCATCCTTTGCCGTCCCCGTCTTCTTTGACCTTCAATCTTTCCCAGCATACCTTTAAGTAAATTTTACTTACAAAGAAACAAACATTACCAAAACCACATTCCTTCCAACACATTTAAATTATCTCCCTTATAAATAAAAGCCGAATGGTGGTGGCACTTCTCTAGAACATTCCACACGCTCCAAAATCAGTTCGCTCTTTGATCTGTCATTCAGAGGGTCTCCCTATCCACTGGCTGCTTTGCCTGAGGCCTGCCTCCAACATTCTAAACATTTTGCTGTTCCTCTCCCCCCCATAGCCAGTCAGAACACAGAGGTTATTTGCATATGCAGCCTCATTGGCCTTTGCCTTGGAACAGAGATCGTTTGCATATGTGACTTGATTGGCCTTTGCCTCTAACATTCTAAACAGTTTGGTGTCCTGAGGTAAAATGTGTCCAATCTCCAGGTGAGGGCTGGAGATCACCAGAATTACAACTGCTTTCCAGATGGCAGAGATCAGTTCCCCTGGAGAAAATGGTGGGCTCTGTATCCTTATATGCTGCTGAGGTGGCCCCCATATGACAGCCAATATGACGTAGCAGTCAGGGCTTCAGAGCACAGGAGAGGCTGCAGGTGTGTGGGGGGTGGAAAGCTGAAGAGTGAGGGGGAAATAAAGGTAGGTTGATGATTGGCTGGGAAGAAGACAGGGTTGCAAACTCCACGTGCGAAATTCCTGGAGATGTGAGGGATGGAGCCTGGAGAGAGTGAGGTTTCAGGAGGCGTGGGACCTCGGACAGGTACAAAGCCATAGACTCCACCCTCCAAACCAACTATTCCCTTCTGGGGCACCATTGTTGCCAATCTCCAGGCGAGGGCTGGTGAGCACTCAAAATTATAACTGTTCTTTAGGCAGCAGAGATTTCTCCTCTGGAGAAAATGGTGGACTCAGTGTCATTATACCCTGCTGAGGTCGCCACAGCAAATTGACACTGAGTGTTCAAGGCCAGGGCACCCGCCCAGAGCCTCTTTCTAGAGGCGGTTGTATTTATTTCCACAACGGGCCTTTTTCCTAGTTTATATATAAACATCCAGCTTGAATGATGGAAAAGTCTAATGCCATTTTATGTTTCAGTTTGTCCTAACAACAAAGCTTTACTATTATTATGATTTGTTTGATTTATATACCGCCCTCCCCGCGGACAGGCTCAGGGTGGTTCACAACAGTCTCAATACAATACCATAAAAACAAAACTTAAAATAACAATTAAAACAGTACAACCATAAAATGCCGTGCAACAAACTAATTCTGATCAGCAGTACTGATACTAAGACCCGGGCCACCAGTGTCAATTCAGCAGTACCGAAGTTAAGATGCAGGCTGCTGAGGAGGAGGTAGCCAGGAGAGGAAAGGGACCTCCGCCGCCTCAACCAATTTTTGCAACAATACGGAGTATTCGCTATTTCGCTTGCCCATTTCAGTGGTCAAAGCACTTTATACACGTACCACTACAGTAACCCTTACAACCACCCTGTAAGGCAGGCCCAGTATTATGGACCTCAGACTGCAGGTGCGGAAAGCACAGAAAGGGATTCAGCGAGACCATGCCGAAAGAAAGGTTCGGGGCTGGGCGCTCGCGAGTTCCTTCCTTGCTCCCCAGGCTGAAACCGCGACAGATGCTTTCGCAGTTTAGCCCCAAGACTCGGCGGGGAAGGGCTGTCTGAAGTTTCCTCCCTCCTACTTCGCCGGGCTGGTGGGAGAAGAGGGAACGGGACGCGCGTCGGGCAGATCTGGACCCTCCGGATTCTGCTTATTCACATACACGGGAGCAAATGTGCGTCTGCCTACGAAGAAGGCCAAAAGGCAGGGTCCGGGAGCCGATTCGTTACCCAACGCACCTACCCGCGCGCGGTTACCTTACCGACGAAGCAAGGCGAGCGGAGGCGCCCGAGGCAGACCCCGGAAGTGATAAGAGGAACTAGACAGGAAGCAGTAACGGTCTCTACACAGCGTTGAGTTCTTTGTGTTTTCCGTTATTTGGGCTTTCCGCCCCTAGAACAGAGTGACGTCCGATTTAAACTTCCATTTATTAAAAAAAAAAAACTCGAGGGCCGTGATTGGCCGCGGTTCACGCGCAGGACACCGCCGCTCTAGGCTTTGGCATCTCCATGTTTGACATCCTTCAGTTTTGACCTGATTTTACCCTGAAACCTATGGTGAAAATCTACTTCCGTTTCTGGTCGGAAGTCCTATTAAGGGTAGCGTCAGATTTGCCCCCTTTTGATCTCAGGCCAGAGGCCGTCTTATTGGCATTTTCACTATTGAGTGACATTTGGTTGCTGCCCCAATAGGCCGGGCACCACACGGTCTGTGAGAGGAACTGCGGCGCCCTCTATGCAAGTCAAGTAGCAAATCTAGACTGATTAACACATTAGTTTCTGCGTAAATTGTCGTGAGTCAGGATCTTTTCTTCAAATGTATATGGAAAGTACAATCGCTTTACAGAAAACTTTATAACCAGTAATGGAAGAGGAGGGAGACTTATAGCAGAGTTGCAAATCCTATTGCAAATCACTGAGGTGTGAGTCCTTGTGAAAAGGACTGGAACTGATGTGGTTATTATACGTGGTGAATGATAAGAGAGGTCCCAACTTCTCATGTCATGCAGGTACCGAAGGATTCAATCAAAGCTGTAATAAATCCATTCCTAATCGTAGAAGATGGGCAGGCAGAAGGGAATAAGGATAAAGTCTAATCAAGGAAGGTGCAGGGTACAACACAAGAAAAAAAAAAGATCCCTGTAAAGGATTACGGTGTGATAAAAAGTACTAATTAACATCAGTAAAATGTGTTATGTAACAGCTATAGTGAGTAAGGGAATCCAAGTCTGGTGTAAAGATTTTCGTAATTCTTTTAATGAATTCTAATTCAGCATTTTCACTCTGGATTCTCCCTTGAAGAATTTTTGTGGAAGAACAGTGACTGACCATCCAATCTGCAGAAGTATGTCCTGGAAGATTAAATGGTCCCCCACTGGTTTCTGCATGTTGTGAGTTGTAATGGTCCACCTTGTAATGGAGAGCCAGTTTGGTGTGGCTAGGAGCATGGACTCTAATCTGGGAGAAACCAGCCCTCCGCATGTAGCGGCTGGTGTGACCTTGGGTCAGTCATAAATTCTTTCAGAGCTGTTCTCCTAAGGAAAATTCTCAAAAGAGCTCTCTCAGCCCCACCTACCTCACAGGGTGTCTATTGTGTGGAGGGGAAGGGAAATGGATTGTAAACTGTATGAAGGGTGGGGTATAAATCCAATCTCCTCCTCCCCCTCCTCCTTCGTCTTCCTGCTGCATAGGCACAATGTAGACAGCAGAAGGGCACTGTTGACACACATACATTTTGTTAGTTTTTAAAGGTTCTACTAAACTTCCTTTCTAGCCCTGATCTGGACAGTCCAGGTTTGGTCCTGGCTAGTATTTGGATGGGAGACCACCATGGAATATCAGGGTCATGATGGGGAGGCAGGCAATGGCAAACAACTTCTGAATAGCTCTTGCCTTGGAAACCCCATGAGGTTACTGTAAGTTAGCTGCGACTTGATGGCAATTTCCACCACCACCAAACTATCTTTTTACCCCTCTGGAATGCCTATTTTAGAGTTATAGCCAAAGATGGCTTTTAATAAAATGCCAAAAGCTGAGGCTGTGTGTCATTAATATTATCATTATGTGTTTCTCTGGTGTCTTCTCCTGTTCCCTGGACCTGGCCTTTTTGAGGAGGTGGCTGGTGTTAGGCAGAGCTCTTGAGCCTCTGAATGCTACATGGCAGGATGGCATCCAACAGATTGCTGAGGTTACACCAGCTGGGTTTTTGGATGCCACGAGTTTTTAAAGATGCAGGTGCCTGTAAGACCTAACAGAAGTTTCTGCTGCAAGGATTTTATTGCAAAGAATGCAGTTGAGGCTTTTCAGGTTTGGCCTGGGCTGTTGGGAGCTCACAAAAGGAAATGAGGCAAAGGAATCAAAACACATGATGAATATAAGTGCTAGCACATCTGCTCCATGTTACGTGCATTCCACAGCATCCTAAAATTTCCTTATGCCGCCTAGATTTTGGATAGCTCTATAACAAAGAGCAGCACAAAGCTAGCGACACTGCCACATAGTGGGAAATGCCTGGTTGCCCAATGTGACTATCCACAGTACAAAAAACAATCTTTATTAGTACAGTTGTTGTTACCCATGCCGAGAATAACTCAGTTTATTAGAGCCAGACGTCATCCCGCCCCCAAGAGGCCTTATTACACTTTTATTCCATATTAACCCAACCTGAATAATTAAGGTTGCAATTCACACGTTTTGGCCAGGTTTTTGCACCTTTAGTTATGTGGCAAGCAGACATCTAGCCAGTGCAGCTTTCTAAAAGGACAAAGGTGTTTTCAAACAAATAAAACTAGCAGTTATTACTGCCACCAACTGGTTCCATACTGTTTTTACGGTGCAATTCTAAAACCACTTTTCTAAACACCACTGAGTAAGATTATGAGTAGACCTGTTTAGGATTACACTATCAGATGCTTTCAAATACAAGCCAGCTTTCGATATGTCATAAGATTGTCTTGTGCTACAAAATGCTGCTTTCTTGCCTATGTGTTAATTATGCATATCATGTTTGTTGGGGGTGCAGTTTCCATTTATTTTTCCTAGGGCCAGAGTGGGATTTGAGGAGGGGAGGAATTTTGGATTGGTGTAATGTCATAGACTCCACCCATTTCCTCCACAAGAACCACCATTGCCAGCCTCCAGGTGAGAACTGGAGATCACCCAGAATTACAACTGTTGTCCAGGCGACAGAGATCAGTTCCCCGGGATAAAATGGCTGTTTTGGAGGGTTGAGTCTATGGCATCATACCCTGCTGAGGCTGCTTGCCACCCCTCAAGCCTCACTGTCCCAAGGCTCCACCCCCAAATCTCCAGGAACTTCCCAACATGAGCTGGCAGCCCCAAGGTGAATTGATCTCTGTAGCTGGGAGATCTGTTGTAATTCCCGGAGCGCTGCCACTGCTGCTGTGGGGGGAGCGGAAGCAGGTGGGTGGGTGGGAGCACCACCACCACTGCTGCTGCTCTGTGGAGTGGGGGAGGAAGCAGGCAGGAAGCTGGGGAGAGTGATGGGGGGCAGAAAGACAGAAAGAGTGATGAGATGGGGAGGCAGAAAAACAAAGCGAATGATGAGGGGTCAGAAAGAGAGAGGAAGTCACATGCATGGAGGAGAAATAGAGAGTAAGAAAAGGGGGGCAGAGGGAAGAAATAGTGTGAGAGAGGTAGGGCGTGTGGAGAGGAAGCAAAGGTGTGATGAATGAGATAACCATCCCGCAAGTTTCTTGCGGGTCTCCACTTGTATTATCTATTTCCCGCATTTTACTACAATATTGTATTGTTTTATGTAAACCGCCTTGGGGATCTTTGTGGTTCAAAGGCGGGAGAGACATCAACCCGAATACAGTTATTAAACATGATTAATACTGATGTTGACCCGGTCAGTGAAGTACGCAGTATGCTTTGTGCATTGGCTCAGACGCGCCCTTTGGGGAGCTCCGCCTCATCCGCCGCTCTCGGGTTTCAGTTGCAGCGTTGTTGTTGTTTTTCTGAATGGGCCGAGCCGCGGAAGGGGCGGGGCGTTCCATTCATCGCTTCCAGCCTTGGCCATGAGCGGCGCTAGGACCGCGCGGAACGTGGCGGGCGGCGGCTGGGCCGGGCTTGGACTCCCTGGCCGGGTCGGGCGAGGCGGCTGCTTGCGACGGCGCTTGGCTCGCTGCAGGCCCGGAGGACGAGCAGGAGGAGGAGAACAGGGGACGATGCCGAGCAAGAAGAAGAAGTACAACGCGCGCTTCCCTCCGGTGAGAGCCGCTTACCCCGGGAACAGTGCGTGCCGCCACCCCGCAGTAGCGTCGCCGTTTACCCCGGGGTGGAGCGCCCGAGGCATTCTGGGCTCTGGAGGCCTGGGTGAGGCAAAGAGGCTCCCTTGCACGCTCCCGGAGGAGCGTCGCCCCTCCCCCCGTCCCGAAAGAAGCGCAGCCTTTTGCAATGGATTGGAATAGAGCCGGTCTCCCCTCCCCCACCAGCATCTGCCTTCCGAATATATGACATCCCCTGACGCCCACGGGCGAGTGATCCGCCCCCCCCCCCACCCCCAGTTCATTGGAAAAGACCTCCTCGACCCCATAGACTTAAACCTAAAACGCACGCTTTGGGGGCCCCGGTCTATCCCGGTGACACTTCTTGGAGGCGCATCTTCCATGGTTGTCCTTTAGAGCTGGCTTGGGGGAGGGGGAGTCGTCTTCTCTATATGTCCCCTTCCTTCTGTGTTTGGAGGCAGCGTTATTTGGATGACTGTACGTTCCTACGCTGTGGGAGAAGGCATTAACTGTTGTTAATTTTATAAGCCTCTCTTCTGTTGTCATTGTGTTCTTAAGGAAAAAGCTCCAAACCAGTTAGCTTCTCTTGGTAGGTGAAATGCTCCAGGCTCGTTTGGTTGTCCCTGTCTGCATCCTTTGTAAATCTACCATTTCCTTTTCAATAGAGGTGACCCGAACTGTACCCACTATTCCAAATGCAGCAGCTTCATCGATTCATATAAAGGCATGGCAGTAGCTATCCTGTTTCCAGTCTCTTTCGTAATGATCTGTAGTTTGGAATTCGACTTTACTGTATACAGGACTAGTGTTTTCACTGAGCTGACCACCAGGACTGGATCCCAAGACCTCTTTCCTAGTCAGTTGCTGCCCTTTGAGACCCCATCTATGTAAATGTAGATTTTTGACCCTTCAGCATCACTTTATTTTATTTTTCCAAATGAAGTGATTTGCATGCTTAACAGAATGTTCTGTGCACAACAGAACCAAATGAACCAAATTCAAGTTAGAAGTGTGGCCGCAGCGGCATCAGCAACACTTCAAATATTAAAACATTAAATATTTGGAAGAACAAACGAAAGTCACCAAAGGCCTGGGGAAAACACAGTCATCTTCACCTGGTACCTCAGTCTCCCAAGGAGCCAGCAGAATGGATGCAGAGCTGGGGTTCCCTGGAGGCAGCTCCAAAATTTGTTAGGCTCTCCCTCCTAGGAGAAGTGCTCCAATCTCTCTGAGTCTTTTGGTTGCCTCCAAATCCCTGTCTGTAGTAGCCCATCCACCTTGCATCTGACAGTGGGTTCGCACACAGAGCGTGGCCTGTGTTGGAGATTGGAACTGTTGGGCCAGGTTCATTTTGGAGCAGGTGGTCTGTCAGGTATCCTGATCCTAGACCATTTATGGCTTTCAAGGCCTTTGAAGCATGCCTGGAAGCAAATGGGCAGCCAGCCGGCAGAGTCCCATAATGGAGCTTTGCGGCCTGCTCTGGCAGCTCGGCCAGGCTGAGTATTCTTTAAGAGGTGACAGTCACGAGTTTGTGAGAACAATGGGAGTTTTACTGATTGCTCTGAAATACCGGATCTAGGGCCACTTTCTCTGTAACTGTCAGAAACTGTCATCTAGAGGCTCTCACTTTCAGTTCCCTGTCTCTTGTAAATCCCACCTCCTCCTATTGGCTGTCCCTGAAGAGGCATCGGGAATCCATTCAAACATTCTGTTATAGGCTTTTCAGTACTAGTGAGATACGTTGAATGTACATAATCACACGAAGCTGCCTTTGTACTGAGTTAGACTGTTGGTCCCTCTAACTCAGTAATGTCTCCGTGGCTGGCAGGGGCTCTCCAGGGTCTCAGGCAGAGAAAGGTCTTTCCCAGCACCTTATCAAAACCCTAGTTTAACTGGACATGCTGAGAACTGAAACTGGAGGCTTTTTGAAAGCAAAACATCTTGCTCTTTTCCACTGAACTGTGGCCCCTCCATCAACAGTCTTAACACCTGAATTCTAGACCAATGGATGGAAAGTGCCCTCAAGTCACAGCCGACATGTGGCATCTCCTTGGGGTTTTCGGGGCAAGAGGCGAATAGAGATGGTTTTGCCATTGCCTGCCTCTGTATAGCAATCCTGGATTTCCTGGGCGGTCTCCCATCCAAGTACTAACCAAGGCCGACCCTCCTTAGCTTCCAAGATCTAATGAGATCAGGCTTGCCTGGGCCATCTGCGTCAAGACTGGGGACAATTACAGTTTCCAAATGACAGCCCCACTGCTTTGCAGTAAACTAATCTGGCTGTGATAAGAGCATGGATAGCTCCAGCCACTTATCAAGGAAGGAGCCTAGCTGGTGAACATCCTAAAAATGGCTTCAAGTGTAACATGCCACAGATAAAATGTATGCCTCTGTGCAGAAAGAGAGCTAATAGAGCACCTAAACTGTGAAGCTGCCCTGGGGGTGGGGGGGAGCAATCCCATTGGGAACAGGCTACCTCTGCAATCCCTGATCTGGCACATTATCAGGTCCAAGAGATTGCCTTCTACTGATTCTGACCATTGGTCTGTCCAGGTCAGTATTGCCTAGCAGCAGCTCTCCAGGGTCTCCTCAGGTGGAAGTCTTTCACGTCACTTACTATCTGACTTCTTTCTTTTTCATCTGGAGGTGCTGGGGACTGAACCTGTGACTTCCCTCATGCAAAGCAGATGCTGGATCACTGAGCCACAAGGGGTCAGGCACTTCACTCTTACTTTTTATTGAATGCCATCTGCCGTTTTGTAGCACATTCACCTACTTTGGAGATACAACCTTTTGGAGATTTCATGGTTTATCATCTCCATTGACTATTGGCACCAATATAGATCCTTAGTTGAGCCTGTTGTTAGCTTTGATCGGTTACAGAAACGGTTCACGTGTTCTTACTCTCTATGTCCTCTCTGTTTGCCAGTTATTGACTTGACCTTTGACTTCTAAGGCCCTGATCCTTCTCACGCTTACTAGAGAATGGTGGAGCTCACTGAATGTATTGGGATTTATTCTGGAACATACATGTATAGGCTTGAGGTGCATGTTTTTTGTTTGGTGGAAGCTTTTTGAAATTGAAAGTATATAGTTTTTTGCTGCTGATCTCCTCTATTGACATTTCTTCCTCATTTTTTCCTCAGCAAGGCTTCTATGAATTTAACACTTCACGTCTAAATCATACTTTCCACCAGCTCAACCAGGAATAAAAGTTAAACAGACCAGTGTATAAACTTTTGGATCCCCATGGACCCCTTTTCTTAAAACGTTGCCACGTCCAAGTCCTCTTGTAAGGATAATGTAAATGTGTCTCATTTTTGTTGAAAACATTTATGAGTTTTGTAGTGGAGTCCTTCTGGGCAAATGTCATCTCCACTTGACAACCAGATTGCTTGCCAGTTTATTGTAAGACTTTGCTCAATGCAACCTCCATTTGACTGTTTCTGGGAAAGTATAGGGTTTTTTTCTTCATGGAACTGAAGCAAGGAACTCCTTCAGCTTCTCTTTGCCTGGCTTTCCTGCTCTATATGTTTAAAATAAATTTTCATGAGTAGTCTGCAAGTTCCCCTGCAGGTTACTTCTCAGTTTGCCTTCTTGTAGGTTGTAGTTTAGAATGCCAGCCAGGGCTTCTTTTTCCCAAGAATGTCGCCTGGTCCTTTATCATTTCCTTGAGCTCATTTCCATTTCCAGCCACACTGGCATTCTTTTGGGCTCATTTGTCACTTTTGTCAATTATGGTATATATTTTATCTGAGCCTCTGCTGTTGTTGACCTCGTGCTTTCCGGAATGGTTCTGACCCTCCCAAATGTACACAGTCTAAGTTTCATTTTAACAGATCTCTTTATGTTGGGGGGGGGATCCCTTTTCGAAAAATGGGTGTAAAAAAAGTAGCCCCATTTCTTCTCACGTGGACATTGAGTGTGATAGCACGGTGATGGGTTTGGGTTTGATTTTCCATCCTGTAGAGCTTCCATCCACTTCAGCGGGGCTCATACAAGAGAACTTCCATGAATGCAGGAGGATGTTTGTTGCCTTAACTCTGAGTTACACAGACTGTTGGTCCATCTAACTCAAGATTGTCCACTGTGATTGGCAGTAGACCTCCGAGGTTGTTGGGTCTTTCCCAGCCCAGCTTCCCCAGGTATCTTAAATGGAGATGCCAGGTATTGAACCTGGGATCTCCTGTACTTAAAGCAGGCCTCCTGCTACTGAGCTGTGGCCCACCCTGAAAGGTACAGCGTCCCCTTCCTTTCCGTCAGGAGGAGCTCAACAGGAACTCAGAGTCTGGCTCCCTGCCGAAGGCACAGGGCTCCCTCACCAGCTGGTTCCATTCATTTGCGTTTCTATTTCAAGCTCCAGAAAGGGCTGGCCTTTACCCAGGGGCTTAAGTGCAGTTTCCCCAAGCTTGCATCCAACCCTCTGGCCACGCTTGCTCTCATTCTGCCCTTGAAGACAGCAGTGCCTGGAGGATGTCCTTTGGAAGCCAGGGATGCGGGACTTCGGTCAGAGTGGGGGAAACCTGGGGTGTGATTGGTAGCCAGACAGGCTTTCCTAGTGAGGTGTGCCCTTTTCCTTGGGTGGGGCATGAGATGATTTGGCTTCCAGCTCCCTGCCATTTCCCAGGTATGCGCCTGTTGTTCGGATGAAGGCTCTGCACTTATGAGAAGCGCCAAGTCTGTAACCTTCCTGGAAGCCACACCCTTTGGTTCCTGGCACTTAAACCAAGCTGTGGTTACTTAGTGGCAAGAGAAATGCACTTGCCATGCACTCAGAGAAAGCTTTATTTTGTACTCTGCTGGGGAGAACAGTTAGGCTTTCAAAACAGGTGAAAACCCTGGCTCTGACTCAGTTCCGGGACGGCTTCTGAAGAAGAGTCTACAGGTCAGCGGAAGGGCCGCTTCTGTGAATCATCCTCTTGCCATCAGCCAACCCTCAGGTCCTCTTCCTGGTCCACCTTTCCCCCTCCTCACTCCTGTGGGGATGATCCAGGGCCACATCGTTGCAGCCTCCCTCTGTGTAATCTGTCCTCCCAGTGGAGGCAAGTGACTTTGCTCAGCAGACAGGAAAATGATACAAAGAGAGCAGGTTGGGGTGGACATGATTTTGCTTCATTGGGGTTGCAGGGAGGATTCGATTGCTAGGGATGCTTGAAAGCTGAACTCACGTTAATCCTTTTCTCCCCTTTCTTTGTAAAGGCTCGAATCAAGAAGATCATGCAAACTGATGAGGAGATCGGGAAAGTGGCCGCCGCTGTTCCTGTGATTATCTGTATCCTTTTGCTGTTCCTTCCACAAACCACCTTCCCTTGGGGATAGTTTCAGGTGGGTAGCTGACATGTTACTCGCTTGGGGAAGCATGATGAAATGCAACCAAGAATGTGTCATGGTTGACTGGAGGAGATTTTTTTTAAAATGCCCCCCGAAGGGGATTTTTATTGCTTTTTCTATAAACTACAAACTACAACGAAAAAATAGGGAGGGAACATCTACATCTAAGGAGAAAGGAAAGAAAACCACTAATAACTAAAACCCCAAGTATAGGAGATCATTACATCAGCTTATATAAATGTTAGTCTAAAATGCTTGCATTACATTGAACGTAGTCGATTAAGCTAAGTTATTTATCTTTTTAACCATTTTTAACTGTTTAAAGACAACCCCAAGAGCATCATTTATATCACATGCTTTAAAGCACCATTCAGCCTTCACTTTGCTTTATCTTTTCTAATCCTCAATTGGTATTCTTGTTTAGGGGCAGCCGCCCCCTTTTCTGAAGCAGAATCCTCGCCGGAAGACACAGAGTCCAGTTCACCGCTAGATTTGCTGTCATCTTCTTCTTTAGCGCCCTCAACTGGTTCTCCCAGTTGCAGTCTCAGGAACTCACACGCTTTGGAAACAGAGTCAATGTTTTCTTTTTTGTCCTGCAGTTTGAAAATGACGCATTCAGGGGTTAGCCATCTGTAGGAAATGCTGCTTGTTTGTAAAAAAAGGATTAAGTCTTTTTTCCCCCAAAACAATTTATTAGGATATAATAAAAAAGCAATGTTCAAACATATATCAAAACTTATACAATTATATATCCTTCCCTCCTCCCTTCCCCCCCTCCCCTTCTTGGCTTCCCACAGTGCTCCAACCTCCTGCCCGAGTCTTAAATTTTCTTTGTAAGAAAAAAGGATTAAGTCTTTATACTTCTTCCTCTTCTTCCTTATTTCAAATGGTATGTCTATTAAAATCATGATGGTGTTGCCTCTGATTTTCAGGGGTGTTCCTGTAGTTGCTTTCAGGATAGAATCCCTCACGTGTCTCTTCGAGAATCTAACCACTATCTCCAGGGTTTTTTTCCTAGAAAAAGAGCTAGGGGAACTCATTAGCATAACTCATTAGCATATGCCACACCCCCTGACATCACCGGAAGTGTGTCATAAGGCCACACACCCCGCCCCCAATGGTCCCGGCCGCCGGCGGCCTTGCAGCTCCACTGCCGAGCCCCATGAGGGGCCCAGCGGTGGACCTGCAAGGCCGGCGGGAGTGCAAGGAGGCCCCGCGAAGGCCCTCCCTGGCCCCAGGCAGGCAGGGGTGGGGAGAGGCAGGGAGGAAGCAACTTACCCTCCCTCTTCTCCTGCCTCCTCCTGGCTGAAT